ATAGAATAGAATAGAATAGAATAGAATAGAATAGAATAGAATAGAATTGGAATTGGAATTGGAATTGGAATTGGAATTGGAATGGAATGGAATAGAATTCTTTATTGGCCAAGTGTGATTGGACACACAAGGAATTTGTCTTGGTGCAAATGCTCTCAGTGTACATAAAAGAAAAGATACATTCATCAAGAGTCAAGAATCATCAGGTATACAACACTTAATAATAGTCATAGGGTACAATAACCAATCAAATCATACTAGGAAACAGTCAATATAAATCGTAAGGATACAAGCGGAGGGGATGGGTGATAAGGAGTGATGAGAAGATTAATAGTAATAGTAGTGTAGACTTTGCAGATAATTGGACAATTTTGAGGGAATTATTTATTTAGTAGAGTTATGGCTTTAAGGAAAAAACTGTCCTTGTGTCTAGTTGTTCTGGTGTGCAGTGCTCTATAGCGTCATTTTGAGGGTAGGAGTTGAAACAGTTTATGTCCGGGATGTGAGGGGTCTGTAAATATTTTCACAGCCCTCTTTTTGACTCATGCAGTATACAGGTCCTCGATTGAAGGTACGTTGATAGTAATTGTTTTTTCTGGAGTCCTAATTATCCTCTGAAATCTGTGTCTGTCCTGTTGGGTTACAGAACCAAACCAGACAGTTATAGAGGTGCAGATGACAGGCTCAATAATTCCTCTGTAGAACTGTATCAGCAGCTCCTTGGGCAGTTTGAGCTTTCTGAGAAAGAACATTCTTTGTTGTGCTTTTTTAATGACATTTTTGATGTTAGGTTTCCATTGTCCATTGTCCATTGTCCATTGATGTTGATGACATTGTCCATTGTCCATTGATGTTAGGTTTCCATTGTCCATTCCATTGATGTTAGGTTTCCATTCCATTCCCATTGTCTTGTGATACAGTATGATAGAACCTAGAAATTTGAAGGTCTCTACTATTGATACTGTATTGTCTAGCACTGTAAGAGGTGGTAGTATGGGAGGGTTTCTCCTAAAGTCTACCACATTTCTACGGTTTTGAGTGTGTTCAGATCCAGATTGTTCCGGTTACACCACCAGGCAAGTTGTACAACATCCCGTCTGTATGCGGATTCGTCGTTGTCTCGAATGAGACCAATCACTGTTGTATCATCTGCAAATTTCAGTATTTTAACAGATGGATCGCTTGAGACGCAGTCATTGGTATATAGGGAGAAGAGAAGTGGAGATAACACACAGCCTTGGGGGGGGTGTGCTGTGCTAATTGTACAGGTATCAGATGTGATTCTGCCTAGCTTCACCTGCTGCTTCCTGTCTGTTAGGAAGCTTATGATCCATTTACAAGTGTGTTCAGGTACCGCTAGCTGCTTTAGTTTAGTTAGAAGTATGTCTGAATTGGTGGTATTGAATGCTGAACTGAAGTCTACAAGGAGGACCCTTGCATAGGTATTTGGAGATTCAAGGTGTTGTAGGATGTAATGCAAAGCCATAAATAATTTTACTGTTATTATTATTGGTAGTATTTATTACCTTTAGAGCTCATCTTTCTTCTGAGTTCTTAAAATGGTATACATAGGAAAGAGAGAATAACCCTCATGTTGTCCTCACAAACAACAACTGTGTGAGATAGATGAGACTGAGCAGTAACTGGCCCAGGATCACCTAATGAGCTGCATACCTAAGTTGAGGTTCACCTTTGGGCTCCCTGGTCCCAGTCCAATGCCTTAACATTTATACTGTCATTTGCATCTACAAGGATACGCTATAATGTGTCTACAAGTGATAGCTCAGTAGAATACGTGGCTCAGAACAATTGTTAAACTCTCTTCCCAATGTTCTTTATGCCTAAAGGTTTTACCCTTAGTGGTGCTTCTCCAACTAAGTTGAGCACCTTTCCTTACCTACAGCTGCACTCACATTTGAAGAAATCAAAGGCATTGGAACTCTAGATAAGATGTAACATAATTTTCAATGTCAAGTTTGAAAGGAAAGGGAATTGTTTCTAAGTAAATGGTAATGGTGTAAAATTGGGCAGACTTCCTATTAGTCCCTAGCAATTTTGCTTTGGATGAGGTCAGGCAAAGCATTTCAAACTCCAGTAATGTTTTCCCCTTTTGTAAACCAGTTTGATGCCCATTTTGCCATTTCCATAGATCATTAGCAAAAGATTAGTTCTAATTACCTGTTCATGGAGTGTCTATTAATGTTGCTTTCCATATAACCCTTTGACATGACTCCTCTCTGCTCTTTTTAAAAAAAAATAGGGGAGGGAAGAGCTGCTTGTCTCAAAATGTCTAGTGGGAAGATTAAAAACAAATTTAGAATCAACGTTGAAAGGAGGGCTTTCTTAAAAGCTTTTTCTACAAAGGCATCTTGGCATGACCATACAAGGTAGGGATGATAGAGACTGAAGTCCCACAAATACAAAGGACCGCAAGTCAGAGTAGAATATTGGGATGAAAATAGTTGAATACTCTCCATACATATATTTCATATCTAGGTCTCTAGTTTACAAAATCTTGCCTCTTGGTTACATTTTGGAATATTGAGTCAGAATGAGTGGAAGGCTGTGAAATGAACTCCTGAGGAACTTGTCTGATTTCTCTTCTTTGTAGGGGTCTGCATGGCATTTTATGAAACTGGCTTTGACACCAAGACGATTGATCATCACAGAGGTGGCACCAAAGACTATGGCATCTTCCATATCAACAGTGGTTTGTGGTGTAGAGAAAATAATTCCTTATCAAAGGCCTTTTGTGATATAGCTTGCTTAGGTCAGTTTCCAACTCTCCCCACACACAAGGTGGATTTGTGCCCTAGGACTAGAAAAAATAAAGTAACCAGTGGTGGGCTGCAAATTGTTTAACACTGGTTCTCTGACTGCGTAGGCATGGCCAGTTGGTCATGTGACTGGGTGGGTGACGTCACTCATCACACCCAGCCCTGCCTTTGGGCACATGCCTGAAAGGAAGAGGTAGGATTCAGTCAGTTGGGGCTAATCCCACCACTGGCTGGCCCTGCCCCCCACCAGTTTTTTGGCCTGTTTTCAGGATGTTTTCGGGCTGTTTTCCAGGCCATTTCCAGGCCATTTTTCAGATTGTTTTCAGGCCATTTTGGGGCCATTTTCAGACTGTTTTTCGGGGCTGAATGGCCTGAAAATGGCCTAAAAACAGCCTGAAAATGGTCTTAAAAATGGCCCATTTTTCGGACTGTTTTTCTGGCTGTTATGGGGCTGTTTTGAGGGCATTGTCAGGCTGTTTTTCGGGCCACACAAAACAGGTGAAGGCCAACTGATACATACTGGAGAGTCCCTTCCCATTAAACGTGCTAGAATGGGCTGAAGAAAATAATAATCTAAGAAAAAAAACAATCCCAGAGAGCATTTAGTTACCTTTTCTCAATTAAATATTTGACACCCCCCCCCCCCCAATCTGTAATTTGAATAGCCAGCAGGTGGCGATGTTTCAATACTTCTTGAGTGGTACAATTGTTTTGATTGGGGGGCAGGATCAGATAAATTACCATTACATATGGTGATGTACAGAAAAATTAAGAAAAGCAAGCAAACAATAGTTTGCCCTCTTGCTATATTAGGGTAAAAAGAAAACAGATTTATCATGAACCAGGATCTTGGGGAAACAAGCAACCAAAACTTGGTAGGATTCTTTTTGCCAAGGGTTTAGGTCTCTTTATTGGCATTCTGAATCTAATTATAAATATAAACTTCAATTTTGTACAGGTTCATTATCAAGCCCTGGTGCTGGCAAAATTTTACGGGGTGGACAGAATCTGATATATGTCGGAACTGATAGTGATGATTGATAGTCCTCCTGTGTGAGTTTTTGGAAAGGGGCCAGGGGACCAGGATAAAATCCTAGTGACTCTTCACTCCACTCCTACGGAATTATTTTCCTCTGGAGATCTGGAGTATGCCTTCCCTAATAGAATTTGGGACGGCAGTAAAGAGAGGAGCCTTTTATATTTAATGCTGCACGGTGGCATAGTGGTTAGAATGTAGTACTGCAGGCTACTTCTGCTGATCATCAGCTGCCAGCAATTTGGCAGTTCGGGTCTCACCAGCTCAAGGTTGACTCAGCCTTCTGAGGTCGATAAAATGAGGACCCAGATTGTTAGGGGCAATATGCTGACTCTGTTAAGTGCTTAGAGAGGGCTGTAAAGCACTGTGAAGTGGCACATAAGTCTAAGTGCTATTGCTATTGCTACTGAGATTGTAGACTGAAGGAGGACTGAGCTTTTTTATGGTGTAAATGAAGTTGGACTAGAGCTAGACTATTTTATAAACCCAACAGAAGTCTACATGGAGTCAGCATTTTTTAAAGTCATGGAATAAATAAGTACAGGTAGTCCTTGACTTACAACCACAATTGAGCCCAAAATGTATTTTGCTAAACAAGACAGATGTTAAATGAATTTTACCCCATTTGGCAACCATGGTTGCCACAATTGTCAAGTGAATCATTGAAGTAACACGCTTGTTAAGTGAACCTGGTTTCTCCGTTGACTTTGCTTGTCAGAAGGTTGCAAAAGGTAATCACATGATTCTGGGACATTGCCATCATCGTATATATGAACCAGTTGCCAAGCATTTTGATTTTGACCACCTGACCATGGAGATGCTACAAAGGTCATAAGGGTGAAAAAATGGTCATAAGCCACTTTTTTCAGTGCCGTTGTAATTTTGAATAGTCACTAAATGAGCTGTTGTGAGTCGAGGACTACCTGAAGTCTTTTCTCTGCCTCAAAAGAGTTTCTTCCAACTTTGTGTCTGCTGCCTTTATTCACACATTTCTATCATCTCCCTCTGTTGCTTGTGCACTCTCTCTCTCTCTCTCTCTTAAGATTTGCTGAATCCTGATCTTGAAGATGACATCATGTGTGCCAAAAAGATTGTGAAAGGCTCCACTGGCATGGCTGCCTGGTAGGAGAAAAAATGGCTGCCTCTGTCTAATGATAAGTAGTCCCCTCTCTATGATTTTGAAGACTAGGACAATCTCACATAGCTCACAGATGGATAATTTGGTGCTGCCTGAATGTTTTAGATCAGTTTTTTTTAAAAAAAAACTGGGTTCCATGGATGGCGTTCTGTTTCAGACAACTTCTCTAACAAGCTTTGTTCTAGGCTGTGGGTTGCATCTCAAATACTGAAGAACATCTGGCTGTCTATTTCAGCCTCATTATTTACATGTGATTTAGCCCAATATGTCCTTTGGAAATGTGTTTTCCTATAGAATTGCCAGTTGTCTGCCCTGTCCTTCCTCTGTCCTTTTTATGGCTAATATTAAACAGGTACAGTGGTATCTGGGTACTCGACTGGTTTGAAATTCCTTGAATTGGGTACTCGATGCATTTTGATGTGAAAATTTTGTCCTGAAAAATTGTTTGTTTGGTACTCAACGCACAAACTAGAACTTGTCGGCTGCCTTGTGACTCACTACATTATTTCCTACAGGGGAAAATTGTTTGGTGCTCATCATTTTTGGTACTCATCGTGCCTCCTGGCTGGTACCAATTAATGATGAATACCAAAGTGCCACTGTAACTTTTCTTCACTTGCATTTTGTATCTGAAGCTGTTGTTACCAAAATGACAAAAAACACCCCTATAATAGAAAAATGTGATAGACAGACTAGAGCAGGGGTCGCCAACCTTTTGGAGCTCAGGGACCACCAAACTCATAATTTTAAATCCCAGGGACCACTAACCGGTTCTGTGGGCATGGCCTAATTTGTGAGTGTGGCTTGGTGGTGACTGGCTGGGCATGGCTTGTATGTAAATATTATAAATATTTATATAAATATTGATTTTTTGATTTTTTTAAAAAGCAACTTTTACCCAAAATCAGGCAAAGCAGGCAGGCAGATTGAGTTGCTCACAGAATCACAGATTCATTCAGAGATCTATCTATCTGACATTGGCTAGGTCAGTCTGTCACATAAAATTTGCTTGCTGTGAGTCTGCACTGAATAATAGAAACTTCAGTCCTAAGGGAGGTTCGGCTGTGCTTAAAAGCAGACCCAAAGATCTAAAGACTAGCTAGAAAGCAAGAAATCCAACCATTTCCTGCTTTCTAGCTAATCTAAATCTCCCAGCACAACAGAACAACTGGTGGTCAAAAAAAAAAAAAAAGGAAAAATAGCAATTTAGCAGGCAAGTTTGCCGGGTAAGGAGTGAATGGGCGGGGAGGGTTCCCGTGCGCCATGTGGGCGGCTTCCTGCGCAGCCTGGATTAATTGCTTTGGGGGGTGTTCTGGGGGTGTCATTTCTCTGCGGCCCACCAAAATTTTCTCATGGCCCACCAGTGGGCTGCGGCCCACCGGTTGGCGACTGCTGGACTAGTGGGCATGTCCATTACGAGTTGTTTTAAAGGAAGGAAAAGTCTGCAGGTACAGATTGCCTAACAATTCCCTCTCCCAACTCTTTTAAACAACTTGGGCATCATTATTCCTTTTTGTGAAATGCAGGTGAATTTTGTAATTTGTGTGGGTTCTTAATCTCAATCCTAACTTTAACAATTGTGGATAAGAAAATTGTGGATAAGAAAACCTTGAAAAAAATGTACTTTATGCATCTGCAAATGCATCTCTGCAATTTTTCATATTCGTAACATTAAAACCCCCACTCCAAATGTTCTCTTCAAACAGAATCACATAAACCAAACTATAAATACACGAAACTCTTCACTATGAATTGCAAAATCTGATCCCTACTTTCTCATTGCCAATATGTGAAACTGCAACTCACCGAATAAGAAAAACGAGGGCTATTTACACTGAAGATGTAGAAATCCTGCCTCTTTGGGGGCTCATTTCCTCATGTTTTCAAATAATTTATATTTTACTGTCAGGTAACTAATTCTGCTGTAATCTATCTGGATTTTCAGCATAAAGAACAGCTGATTTCCCACATCTGGGTCTGCATGTGGAATCTACTTCAGGGGGCTTCTTAAAAAAAAAGCAATATTAGAGTTCCTAACGTTATTTTATGTGTCTTTCACAGCAAAATAGCTACAAAACCCCAGTTTTTAGTCGCTTTGAGAGGCAATTATACTCAGGCTGATAGAGATATGGGAGCCTAAGTAAGAAGGAAAAAAAAGTTAAAAAACACAGTTATAATGTCCAAATAGCAGGCTATGTCTGTCTACACATAAATGCTGCTTTATGACTTAACATGACGGTCTAATTTACACAACTCACTAAAACTGTGGTGGATCACTGCAATATGCTGAACCACAACAGCAACTCCATTTTACTTTAGTCTACAGAATTGTGTGAGCCCAGCCAGCAAATTCCAAAGATACAAACACGTAATCTTATAGACTCCAGTAATTGAACTGTGATGGTTTTATTTTAAAATAATTTTTTTTTAAAAAAAGATTTGATCTTTTAGGGGCCTTCACTGCAAAATTAGAATGTGCATAAATATGCCTATCAACTACTGTAGACGGGTCATGCATATGGCCACATTTATGAAATGTATCTATATGCATGATTAAGATATGTATGGAAGGCTTTCAGAGAAGTGAAATAAAATAATGGTGCAGAAACCTATCAGAATAAAATTACAAATTTAATATTTTAAAACCCACCCCACCGAATAGGGATTGTCACCGAAAGCGGCAATCTGAAGCCACTAACAGGATTCAAAAGCCCATCTAATAACATTGCTTTCATCATCTTGCAGAAGGCCAGTAGTTAAAGGGGGGGTGGGGGAAGGAAAGATGAACCTACCACTGGGAGAAAAACATTGGGGTTTTTTGTTGTTGTTGCTGATACTGTGCTTTGTATCAAAATAGTACATGTGCATATACAGTTTATTCTGATTCATTTTCTCTTACTACAGGCACCAGTGGAAAAAGCACTGTGAAAACCATGATATGAGAAAGTGGGTAAACGGGTGTAAGATTTGAAAAGGAACTGGCTGCAGTCTGTTTCACCTCTCCTGTATCAAATAACTTTTTTTAAAAAAAACTTACCTTCTTTGTTCTTTCATTGGTTTATTCAGTTTCCACTTATTGACAGAAAATGTTCATAATACATTCCTTTGCTTTGTCCTCTTGCTAATTGCACCAAAGTCTGGGGCAGCAGATTCTGCAATGAAGCTCCTGCTATGTGGGATACACTGTGATGGAGAGATGCCTTAATGAAGAGCTCTGCGCAACACCATTAGTATTTAAAATGTAAGGAGGAAGTTCATACCTTGTAATTGCAGGAGGTGTAGGAAGATGCAGAAGAAAGCCACAGTTTGATTTACCCACGGCACTATAATTGCAGGCCACTATAACTGCCACCATGTTGGTTTGTTTTAGTGCAATTTCCCGTTCCAGTGTTTTGACATTAACGTGCGCAAGGCCAGTGTGAAGAATGTGATGCCAGATATCCCCCCCCCAAAATACTCATAAGGTAGATGCCAGGGCTCCAGTAGTGACCCCCCATGTAAATCATGAGTCTCTAGCCTGATTTTCAAAGCTCAAAGAAGATTTATTAGGAGAAGACATGCCAGTGCTGCCTGGGTGTAGCTGACTCTGAGACACATCATTCATTGTCACCCTTGACGCTGGTTTTCCCCCCACCTCCTGGGTGTGTCATAATTCATATTCTCCAATGGGACACATCCATAGCCGAGAGTCATCAATCATACTCTCCAGTTAGAATTTTGCACGGCAGAAACTTCACCTGGAAACTATCTATGAAACATTCATGGAATGCAGTTTCAGTTTTGCAGCTGCTACACTCCTCCCCCCTCCCTTTCTGTTGGCAACTCTAAAAGACCAGAGAAATATTTTATGTGTTGACAGTAGAGCAACATGGCAGGCAAAAAAAAAAAAAAAGGTCACTGTGAGTGAGCTGAGAGCAAAATTTGGAAAGGGGGTGACAAGGGGGAAACATGGATAAACAAAAAAGTTATGGAAAAGCTGTAGTCTCATCACACTTAACCACATGAGAGACAATGCTGCTTGAATATACAGACAACGCCACATGGATGTCTTCTTACAACAGGCTTATTAAGTTCTTCTTTCATTTCCATAAAGGGGGGGGGGGGGGGGGGGGGGGAATGAAAAAATGGGCATTTTGAAATTTTTACTCAAATCATCAGATTTGACAACTTCCATTTAACATAAAGATGCACGTACATAACTTTTAAGGTTGGATGTTCAGTTAGTAGTAACCTTGGCTCATGGGGATGGAGCTTAGCAAGTAATGTAAGTTCAGCTCAACTGATTTCATTTATGATGGAAGGGCTTGTGCCAACTCATAACATGTTTAAACGCGAGCCCCATGTAAGCACAATGGCTTCACCAGAGATCAGTCTTTCGATAGGGGAGATTGCATGAATTCAAGGCGGCAGCAGTGGAACTCAAGGGGAGGCAGCTACTGACCAAGCACCATTCAAATTACAAGAGACTGCCCAACTTCCTTCCGTGCTCTTCCCAAATAAATAAATAAATAATCAGACAGCATTAAGTGGTGAGTGGGGGGGGGGGGGGGGGGGGGGGGGGGGGAGCCAAAGCATGGAGCAGGGCACACTTTGCCGAGAGCTAAAGGGGAGTGAGAAGTAGCAGCATGGGAAGAAGGGAGGCGTTGAGGTGAAACCATTTACTTCTCCATGCACCATTGCAGGCTCCGTTCAATCTTGGCCCCAGAAGATTCATGACTCACAGAACACTGAATAGGGGTGAGAGAGTTAAAGAAATTGCGTGATACATTCAGGATGCTGGAGGTGGTGTAAGTGCCATCCCCATTCAAGGTCACGGGTCCAGAGGTCACTCCTTCAGTTATATCTTTCCCAGCTGCACTCCACTTGATCTCTAGTAAGCCTGGGTAGAAGTCTTCAACTACACATATGGCATGGACATCAGAAGATTCTGGCTTCTGGGAAACGTCAGACAATATGATGACGGATGATGGTACTTGTGCTGATTGTCCTGGGGAGAACAAGAATAATTGAGTCTTGCCGTTCTCCCAAACTGCCATAATATTGTTGTTTCGGAACCATACTTCTACAATTTAGAGTCAACCCTTGCCTTTTGAGATCTGATACAGGTACAGATTAACAGACCTTGGAAGGGACCTTGTAAGTCATCTGGTCTAAAAGTCTGCTGGATTGGCTGATTAGCTGCAGCAGCACTCACTCAGCACTGAGATCTGTAAAGGCAGTGGTGGAATTCGACCGGTTCGGTCTGGTTCTGGCGAGCCAGTAGGAACGATGAACAGCAGAGACCAAATTGGTTCTCTCCACCACTCTGCTGTTGGGCCCACCCGCCCGCCCGGGTTCCCATACTCACTTTTATCTGCTAAATTTGAAGCGCAGCTGCTTTGCGTGGCACAGAATAGTGCTGTGTGGCAGCTGCTGAAGCAACTGGGATCATGCAGGCTTGCAGGAGGTGAGTTAGAATGCCTCTGTGCCTGTGCAAAGTGCGCATTTGGTACCTGCATGCATGCAAAGTGTGTGCACACACGCAAAGTGCGTCCACCAAGCCACACCCACCGAACCGGTGGCAACAATATTTGAATCCCACCACTGGTGTAAAGGTGTGACTTCTGCAGTTGAAGTCTGGCATTTAGAAAGCAACAGATCTTCAGTTGCTGCCCGATGAGTCTGAGCCTTTTCATGTCTTCTACAGATGATTTTTACTATCTATTAGCCATCTTTTCACAACTTGCTTCTGAATCAAGGAGAGGTTAATGTGTTGTGAGAATTATAAAAAAAAATTATCCAAACAGATCCAGTTGTCAGCTTTGAAATTCAGCTGCCACATATAATGGAAGGGGGGGGGTGGAGGAGTTGAAAAGTTCAAGGTTATTCATACCAAGAAATTCCAGTTGCAGTTAATTGGTTCTCGTGATTTATGAAGTGTAGAAGTGGGAAGAGGGAAGGTGGATTCTATGTAATGCACGAAAATACTTTCACTTTGGGAAATTGCCTTAGACGTACCAGATCTGTTCCTAAATAAATCAATTGGAGAGAATATGTCTCGGAGTGATTGATATCATGGAAACTTTCTGGATGCCTTACACGAGTCAGTTGTAAGTGGGAACCATCAAAACATATCAATTGGCCTCTTTGCAATCCTGGTCCTCCATTAAAAAGAAAATCTAAGCCTTTCTATTACAGAACTCACTGCTGAAGCTTAGTGACACAGAATAGGCATTTCAGACACAAGACAGTTGAAATGGTCAAGCTATACCTACAGGTAGCCCTCAACTTACAACTGTTCATTTAGTGACCCTTCAAAGTTACAAGGGCACTGAAAAAGTGACTTATGACCATTTTTCACACTTAGTGACTGTTCCAGCATCCCCACGGGATCAAAATTCAGGTGCTTGGCAACTGATTCATATTTATGACAGTTTTAGTGTCCTGGGGTCACGTAAGCCCCTTTTGGGACCTTCTGACAATGGGGGAGCCAGAGTCACTTCACAACGGTTTGATTAATTTAACAACTACAGTGATTCACTTAATAACGGTGGCAAAAAAGGTCGTAAAATGGGGGCAAACTCACTTAACAAATGTTTCACTCAGCAACAGAAATTTTGGGCTCAATTGTGGTCGTAAGTCGAGGACTACCTGTATTGCTCCCTTCTGGGCTAATTGGAACTGGATTAGTGATAACGTGTTATCTTGCTAGTTCCCTTCTGGTGCAAGGCCTTGTGGGATATCAGTTCCTGGAGAAACTGTATGGACATTTTTTTCCAGATCTAGCTGCAGAAATCCACATTACTATTAGATAGTAGCAGAGGTGGTACTCAGCAGGTTCTGACCAGTTCTGGAGAAATGGCAGAGGAAATTTTGAGTAGTTTGGAGAACCAGCAAATACCACCTCTGACCACTCTGCCCCCATCTATTCTCTGCCTCCCGAGTCCCAGCTGATCAGCTGAGTCTCCTTTTGTTGCCCTGCACAGGAGAATGGAGCTGGAAAGCAGGTTAGTGGGGTGGGGAGGGAATGGGGATTTTGCAGTATCCTTCCCCTGCCATGCCCACAAAGCCACACCCACAGAACAGGTAGTAAAAAAAATTGAATACCACCACTGGATAGTAGTAAAGATTTTTGCCATTCAGGTCTAATTGCTCTGCTCCAGGGCTGTCAAATTCCCTGCCCATGGGCCGGATGCATCATGTGCTGCCCACACCCACACCCGGTTTAGCAAAGGGGAAAAAAAGTCCCGATATATGTCATGTGATGCTGCCATGACACCATGAGTTTGACACCCCTGCTCTACTCTGTCCTCCATGTTTCTCCCCTCAATTAATAGGACAGAATTGAGTGCTGTCAGAATCACTGGTGAGGAGATTTGACTCGGTTAATAGCTGACTGGGGCAGTGGTGGGATTCATTTTTTTTTACTACCGGTTCTGTGGGCGTGACTTGGTGGGCATGGCAGGGGAAGGATACTGTAAAATCTCCAGTCAGAGGAGGTATTTTCCGATTCTCCAAACTACTCAAAATTTACACTACCAGTTCTCCAGAACTGGTCAGAATCTGCTGAATACCACCTCTGGACTGGGGGATATATGCGTTGTGGAAACAGAACCATTGTGCAAATTCAGTCTAAGCCCGATCACCACTAAAGGATAACAAGCAATATCAACATTAACTTTGCTGCCATCTAGTGGCCCCTTGTAAATAGAGCGTTCCATAAGCTGGCAGCCTTCAGTTATTTGGTTCAGCTGCGTGTAGAGTTCTCAGGGGAGGCTTAGCCAATGGCTGCTGTTCTCATAATAAGACCAAATCCCATTTGTTAGTTATTAAAGCAGTGCAACCCAACCTTTTGGGCATCAGGGACTGGTTCTATGGAGAGAGGTTTTTCTGCGAACCAGAGGGGTTGTGATTTCATGTGCTGCTTGCATCCCCTGGATGGGGCTTCGCTTATTTGCAACGACCGATTTCTGGCATGCCATGGACTGGTTG